CCAGCTTTATGCTGATCTACGCTTTGAAAATAACTTGTATTCTCAGGTCACCAGTAGACAGGTACGATGACCAGGTTTTGAGAAGACGGAGCACAGACAAGACTCGTCTTTTATTTTGATTACATATTTTGGTGTCTTATTATTATGAAAGAACACTCATGTATTAAAACTTTACTTTTAATGCAATGGATGATGTTGTTGCTTGTTTACTACTTTGCACTGTTATGATACTTTACATGACGTCCTCCACCCCTGAACGTTTCCGCCGTTCTTGGTTTTGGGGTGTGACATCATGTCACAAACTCGCTCTTTATCAGAGACTCCTTCTTCTTCTTAACAAACATAAGATAAGTTTATTTGATTTCCACGATAACCGATGGGTCACGTTCTAATGAACTTTCATCGTATGTTGCAACGCTCAGACTCAGGTCTTTTAGAGTCAAATTCTGGAATTGGATATACTTTCCTTCATGTTCTAATGTGATATAATCACATTTTAACATGTAGCATTTCTAGCTACCAAATTCTTTAACAACGAGCACGATACTTCTATTGATCGCTTCGATTTCAATCTTCTAGTTTAAGTCGGACGCTACATCAAACATAGTTCTCTGAACCACGTAATATATTTGTCTTAGTCGGACTCGATTTGATATGACCACTAGGGTCGGAATAACAACAATCTTCTTAGTTATTACCGAAATGATGGTAATGACATACTTTGAACAAAACGGAATCAATTACTAGCTTCTTGGTAACCTTGTGACTTTCCCTGATCCAAGTGTGAGTCCTGTGCTTCCGGTAGTATAGGCCTCTACTACCATTCACACCTACTCATACTCGTCCCAAGTATTGTCTCCCAGTTCTCCAAGTCATTATCACAAAAACAATTTTAACACATACAAATGTGTCCAAACAATCATATAATTTTCCCTAGACTCTACTGGGACTTCTTCCATGCGTATCTTCAATCATCAATTCTGCTTCAACTCGGTTGGTGATGGAAATGTCAGACGATAGGATAACTTCATGGATACTCTTTCTTTCTGCTAATCGAAAGTGTGCTTCTCCCGTACTAGACGTATTATTTATTAAACTCATTCTAAAGGCATGATATCACTCTTACGATATCTTCCGATAGGTACCATTCAATATCGTAAGCCTTCTCATTTCCTCCATTTACTCAATTCACTACGAGTCTTCACCATGATGTTTTACACACCAAAGCAGTCGTTTGGTGTATCGATACGAGAGTAGAGGAAGTTTTAGACGCGTATTCCTCCTTATTACTTCGAAAAATTAATGCCAGTTCTAATATCGTAATTAAACGTTTAGAAATCTGAACACACAAAGTTTCCAGATCCGGTCGGCAACAGACCATAGTTCCGATCAAACGATAGCATCATAAAGCATCACAAATCATTTAGCACCTAAAAGCAATTTAGACATCTTCCCTAAATGAGCTAGTTCCCGTGTCTATTTAGGTGTACTTCCTAAAATATATTAGACACACTCCTCACGATCATCTCTTAGAATTCTAAGTTTAAGTCTAGAAATAAATCCTTATTCCTAGTTCGCTTAAACTAATGCTCTGATACCAACTGTGACATCCCCATTTTCACGGCCGGAAAAGACCGATTTTGTTTATGCTTTATAAAAATCAGAGTACATCTTTTAATAAAAATGTTGCGGAATTTGTTCCCAGAAGAACATGATAAATACGTTATCAAAGCATTTCCGAAGAAGTTTATTTTTATCCATTTTAAAACATTTGGGATGTCATCGTCAATACAGAAACATAAGCATAAACAGAACTTACATTCATTTACACTAGTGATCTACATTTCTTTAATCTCTCAGTGTAATGTAACTTCATATCGACACATGTGATACAAATAAGCTTGAGTGGGTCAGGTTGGGAAACCTGGTGAGTACATAGGGTTTTCAACCCACAATAATATAATTATTATGTTTAATCATCAAACAATTAACCCAATTACCCATCCCCATTATCTTCCTTACTCTTAAGGATCTACCCTAAGAATCAAGTATCCTGCATTCGTTCATTTTGAAGCCCATTGCTTCCAGGGTTTATATGATAGGCACTAAGTCCATAGCTGCCAATGCTTGTTCGTAAAGCACTAATTCCATAGCTGCTAAAGTTCATTCATTGGGTACTAAATCCATAGCTACCAGTGTTCAGCTAATAGGTACTAAATCCATAGCTACCAACGTTTATTTAACAGGTACTAAGTCCATAGCTACCAACATTTATCTAACAGGTACTAAGTCCATAGCTACCAATGTTTATTCGATAGGCACTAAGTCCATAGTTGCCGATGTTATTTGTTAGACACTAAGTCTATAGCTGCCAATGTTCACTCATATCATCTTTCATCTCTCATCATTCATCTACCCATGTTTTACCCAACATATCCGTAGATATAAAATACATATACAGTTTAAATTATTTAAAACATGTATAAAATCGTTCATCCAGCATAGATAACAAGTATACAGGTTATATGCACACATAGCACGTAATTTATATAAAATACTTCATATCTATGTGTAAGATGAAAGTAACTATGCACTCACAACACGTAATTTATATTAAATACTTCATATATATGTGTAAGATGAAAGGGACCATGCACTCACTTGATAAGGTGGTGACTCGGTACTCGGACAACGCTTCGTTTACTTTAAAATAATTTCCTTCGACGAAACCTAATATTATTACCACTAGATTTTAGTCTAATATTTACCGTGACTAACTATTGGTCTTATTATTATTATTATTATTTATTATATGAGCGTTTAAACAATATTTTCCAACCACTATGTACAAACAGGGGCCAGACATAAAACATCGGAGGGCATGATTATTTTGGCATATAGCACTTTTGAAATCCAACAACCCAGGCGGCCCTTCAAACCGAATTCCCCGTACCGCGAGTGGTTAAAAAGATATTATAACGACACTTATATAACCCATAATAATAGCTCAAATAATATATTATAAGCTCCTAATAACGTTACTATATTTAAATAAAAGCTATATTAAAAATTAGGTAGGCGTATCTTACCTACGAGGGGGTTTGGCTAGAAGCCGCACTCTGCAGGGGCAGAACTTCCGAGCCGAAAGCTCTTCTTCTCTGAACCGTCGAGCTCTCCGAGGCTTTCTTCTAGCGCTAGGGGAGTTTTGGGAGGTTTAGAGAGAGAGAGAGAGAGAGAGAGAGTAGAAAGAGAATGGTGGAGGTGTGAATAAATGAGGGTGGAAGGGGTTGTATTTATAGGGTGAAATATGGGTGAAATTAGTGTCACGTGTCACCATCTAGTGGCAAGCCTTGGGGAGAAAGCAATGGCCAAGATTGTGTCACGTCACCCCTTTTGCAACAGCACCCTGCCGACTTCTAAACCCCTTAACTTTCGCATACGAGCTCCGTTTTCGACGTTCTTTATATCCACGCGTAGGTAAAAATAAGATCTACAACTTTCGTTTTGACTCCGTCGGCTAATTCTCGACCGATCTTAAATTTAACAGTACGAGGAGATTATATTGTTAAATGTCCTCGTAAAATTCATAACTTCTACATACGGACTCCGTTTTCGTCTGTCTTTTTACCGTTGAGTTCCTATTAATGAGATCTTCAATTCTCATCTAGGTCGTGTAGGCCAAAAACCGCTCGATCTAAAATTCGAGTTTTGGGTCGTGCACTGCTATGCTAAATCTTAGAAAATTCATAACTTCCTCATACGAAGTCAGATTTGGGCGTTTTTTTTTTTGTATGTTCTCGGTTTAACGTATACTACAAGTTTTTGTTAGATTTCTAAGGCTAAAAAGTCATCCATCGTAAATTCACTATTTACGTCTCCCAGTGCCATGTCGGTTTTGCCGAAAAACTTCGACGGGCCATAACTTCTTCGTTATAACTCGGATTTCGGCGTTCTTTATATGTACGGAACCCTTGTACCATATACTACCATTAGGGTTTGGTCAAACTATGGACTTTAGAGGCCATGGAAGGGTAAAATGGTCTTTTATCCTTCTGAGAATTTATAGTGGGTTTAGCCTAACATCTTTGGGGGTCGTTTATTAATTAGAGTTAATTATGATATATGTTAGGCGGAGGCTAGACCGGTGGTTCGAGTACGAGACATACTTACTTTACTTACGAGGTGAGTCTTCTCAATATACTTACCTGAGTGGTAATACTGAGTGACCAGAGGGTCTTATTTGAGTCATCGACCGGAGGGTCCTATGTACTTATACTGAGTTATGTGATATTATGCATTTTGTCTTGTGATATATGCTATATTATTATGTGCGTTACTGAGTTAGGACCGGAGGTTCCAAACCGAGTTGTGAGACCGGAGGGTCTTCACTGAGATACAGGACTAGAGGGTCCAACCCGAGCTGTGAGACCGGAGGGTCTTCACTGAGAAACATGACCGGAGGGTCCACACTGAGCCGTGAGACCAGAGGGTCCTCATCGAGACGCATGACCGGAGGGTCCATGCCGAGCTATAGCCATGATAGGCTTATTATTTGTGTATGTGGTATTTTGGGGAATTCACTAAGTTTCGTGTTTACCGTGTTGTGTGTTATGTGTTTCAGGTACTTCTCAGGATCACGGGAAGGCGTCGACTTGATTGTACACACCTGTTCGAGATTGTGTTTGAGGATTGTGGGATATTATCAGTCGTTTTGTTGATTGTGTTTTGACAATTGATACATTGTGGTTTTAAAAAAATACGATATTGAGTTTTTATGTGATTTAAAAATGAAAAAAATATATATTTGAAAATTTACCCACGAAAGCAAAAAATAAAGAAATAGATAACCCAATGATTTTACTTGGTTCGGATGCAGTGTAAATCATACATCCACGGACCACGGGCTGCAACTAGATATTTATTAAATAGAAAACAATCTTTATTTTGCTTTCCCATTTTGTCATCCCACTTGGTCACAACCTAAGTTTTGCTTTATGTTGTGGAAAAGCCACTACCACTAACTTAACAATTGAAACACCTTATAAACTGAACTTGAACAAAGATGATCGATCTTTTAATTTCAACAATTCTATCTATCTGAAGGAGAATAATTAGAATGGGATTTTGGGGGCTGTTGGTGGTGGCATCGATGCCGATATTGCAGGTGTTGATCATAAGTGCAATCGGAGCTTTCATGGCTACTGATTACCTCAACCTACTTCCCAGCAACACTCGAAATTCACTTAACAAGGTAAATTTCATCTCTTATTCATCATCAAACATACATGCTAATTGCTAAAGTATCTCTACAGACAACAAGTTACCATTAAATTCTCTTTTTTCTTAGAATCAAAAATAAATTTTAGGAATTAAAAAAATTTGTGTTTAATGTTTGCAGATTGTGTTTGTGGTATTTACGCCTTCACTTATTTTTACAAGCCTTGTGGAGACTGTCACCTTTCAAGACATCATCTCAATGTAAATTGTTGCTATTTTCCTTTTATACATATAAAAGTTAAACTAATAAGTTGTATATATATATATATATATATATATATATATATATATATTAAATTGTTAATGTGGTTAAGTTTCTTTTTATAGGTGGTTTATGCCAATAAATATAGGAATAACATTTTTATGTGGAGGAATATTGGGATGGATAGCAGTAAAACTAATCAAACCAAAGCCTCATTTGGAAGGCCTCATCATGGCTATGTGTTCAACAGGTAAATTCTGGTTATTAATTATTCATTTTCACCTTCTATGCTTCTTTTCTTTTTAATTAATTTTATTCATTTGATGATGAAAAATAAAAAAAATAGGAAACTATGCAAATCTTCTGGTGATAATGGTTCCTGCAATCTGCACAGATAATGGCAGCCCATTCGGTGATCATGCCATCTGTAAGGCTAAGGCTCTCTCTTATGCATCATTCTCCATGGCTGTAAGCATTTACCATTTTACTAAAATGTCTAAAATGCCCTTCAAAGATCTTTTTTCAAGAATCTTGTACACAAATATATATTGATTAAGAAAATGGTTTTGGACAGTGGGGTAGTTTCTACACGTGGACATGTACTTACCAAATGATCCAAGCCTCAGCTTTAAAGTACAATGCAATAAAAGAAACCGAGGAATTGTCAAATCATGCAAATCAAAACACTCATATACTCGATACAAATAATGATCATATTGATCAAATCATGCCTTCATCAAATTTGACTAGTCAAGATATAGAAAACCAATGTGTAAGTATCCCCCCTTTGAAACCTATAACAATTTAATTGCTTAACAAAAGAAATATTATCATTCGCAATCTTTTTGCAGACTGTTCAACAAACGTCAGTAGGGAATGTAAAGAAGAAAGATGGATCGATTTCAGATAAATTAGTAGAAATACTGAAGAAAATAGTAAATCAACTACTAGCTCCACCAACCCTTGGCTCTGTAAGTGTAAAATTTGTATCCCACATAAATTGAAGGACCAATTGGTAGTTAACCCTAAGTAGTGGGTTAAAATCATAACTCTAAGGGTGAATCAGTAAGTAGTTATAAATAGTGGGTTAAAATCGGAATATTTTTACATTTAACTAGTTTGCAGGACTCATTATTGGTGCAATCCCATGGATAAAACATCTTTTAACTGGCGAGAAAGCTCCTTTACGGGTGATTCAAGACTCAATGACATTACTCGGGTACACATGATATAATTAACATTATTAAATCTTTACAACATAAGTTTTGTAAAAATTTATGATGTTTTTTTTTTTAATGATGTTGTCATATATATGTTATAGGGATGGAACCATACCTTGTTTGACTCTTATACTAGGAGGCAACCTCACACAAGGTACTTTAAATAATAATAATAGACTTTAAAATGGAAAAAAAAACTATGCCCGAATTTTATATGATGAAATTGTTGATAGGTCTACGAAAGGCGAGCGTGGGGCCCACAATCATCATCACGGTTATGATAGTGAGATATTTGATTCTTCCTGTTGTTGGGATTGGTGTGATAAAAATGGCTACAAATATGGGATTGGTTCCGGTGGACCCGCTCTTCAAATTCGTGTTGTTGATAATGTTTGCTCTGCCACCTGGCGTCAATATCAGTAAGCCCAAATACGTAGGAAATAGCAACGTACTTTACAATTATTTACTTAAAAATTAGCAACATAAATGCATTTACTTACTTATAATAGCAATGTGTAACAAATAGAGTAAAATGGCCATATTGGTAGGAAAATGTAAGTACGTTGCTATAATGAGTGGTGTTTGACTTTTGAAAGTCAAACATATTATTTATTTTGACTTATTGTTTTATGGGATTTGTTATATGAAAAATGTAGGTACAATGGCTGAATTGTTTAGTGTTGGGCAAGAAGAGTGTGCGATGCTTATGATGTGGACTTATTTGGCTGCTGCTTTTGCTCTTACAACTTGGTCATCTGTTTACATGTGGATTTTATCTTGAAATTTTTGTACCTTTTAAATTTGCTGTATGTTATGTTTGATTGTCTATTTTGATTTTTAATATCTAGCTAATTGATTAAAAAAGTTGTTTAGCACCATTTTAGTCCACATATGTGAGCTCTTGTGCATTTAGTAGCCACATATGACCACATTTGAAGGTCAATTTAGTCAATCATGCCGCCACTTTTGTATTTTTAGTGTTTTTAATCTTTTAAACGAATGTGCTTTTGAAAAAAAAAAAATTAATATGTGATATGAATATCTTTTGACAAAAGTAACAGAAATAATAATAGACACTATGATACTTTTTTTTTGATATGTTAATAAGATTCTGGACTAAAGAAATAGTTTTTTTTTTATCGAGCAATTGTTGTGTAAATATCAAGTAATTCACTCTTCTAAAAATTGATATAACTATTACAATATAATGTATTACTATATCATCATATAGTTTTTGTCGATTATCAGTTAGAGGAAATTTAGGAATAAGTTTAGGAGGAAATAAAGTATATGTTTTTTTGATATTAAGGACCAAATGTGTACAAACTAATAGATAGAGGGTCGAGATGAAACTATGTCGCAAATTTCTCCGGTGACGTGTGCTGCTTTCTGTATAATGATTTCTCCGGTTGACTGTAATTGAGACTACAAACAAGACACCAGAGAGGAACACGGCTTCGGAGATGCTTGAATTGGACAGCCGGAAACCCCTTCGAATATTCCTCCGGCAATCCTTTGTTCCCTGCATATCCTTCATAGTCGTCTTACGAAGTTGAATTTTTACCCTAAATCATTATGATTTGGTAGCAAATTGAGTTCAATTCACAATCAATCCAACCCTGTTTGCTATCAGAATCAATCGCAATCGATGAATTACGCCTTGATCCGCTATTTATTTGCCGATTTCTTGCTCTTTCTGCTGTTGTTTGGATCGATTGACAGCGTTCAAAACTTGGAAATCTCGAAAGTCAATCAAGCACCGGCTAGGCGGTCTCTATTATCTTTTCCGGAGTAAGTTTTCTCCTTTTTTACTCGTTAATTTGAGGTTGTTGATGAACAGCTTCTTCTCATGCATGTACACATGGCTGCCTGCTGCCATTCTGTTTTCCCTCTTTATCAAGGTGAAGATCTGTATATCGATCCATGCTGCTGCCATGTAGTTTGGGTTCTGTAAATTTTGCTCTTTCAGTTGAACTGAAGTATTACCATGAATTTTTTTCTCAACTTCAGCTTGGCTTGATTTTGGTCCCATATTACTTACTCTAACTCCAATTTCCCCTTATTTGTTAGAATGGGCAATTCAATGCAATTCACAATGGTTCCTTTGCAATAAACGTGTAACTATGAATGTTATAATTGCTTACTCTCACATACTCTACTTAGGGTTTGCTCTTCATTCTAACAAGTGCAAAGGCTTTTTTAATTAAGGTTCATGATTTTACCACAATTTAACAAGATAAACATGATCACACATAAGCAGAGTGCTGCACTCAACATAATTTTGCAAATCTTTTTGTAGTATCATTTGAAGTAATTCTCTTTCATGCACTTACATACCTCTCTCCAAACAGTAATCATGACACTGCCCTTGTTGCTGCATTGGATGGAACAATCAATTTGGTATATCGTGATTCTGGGAGGATAATTTGGTCATTTGCATCAGGATCACCAATCTACTCTTCATACCAGACTTCTACCAGCCATGATGATGATAAGGAAAGTGCACCTGTGCCTGAAGGCAGTTATTATGTAGACTGTGGGGATGATTGGAAGCTGTATGCACATACAGATCTTGGCAAAGTGGTAAATTTCTGAAACATTACTCTTGCTACCAATATCAACAATGTACTTTATTATTCAATTTCAACTACCTATTTGTACCTCACAGAGTATGGATATGACTATGGAGGAATTCATCAGAATCATGCCACATGTATCAGAGGATGGAGGAGTTATTCTTGGATCCAAAAAAACTACTGCATTTGTAGTTGATGCTAATACTGGAAGGTTAATACGTGTTCACCACAGCTCATCAACCAATGAACACTCACATTTCATCTCCCAAAAAACCACCATGAAAAATGAAAAGTCAACTATGGTCAATGAAAAACCCGATAAACAATTCTCCTTCACAAGAACAGATTACTTACTCACATCATTTGCTGCAAATTCTGACAAAGTTTTATGGAATGTGACAGTAGCAGACATTGATGTTGCTTTACTTTGTCAAGAAACTCCAAATAAAATCATTCGTCCATCTTTACCTCTCCCAAATAATCTTCGTTCAAAATCCAGTGTTGACTTTGACTTTGACTTTGACTTCAACATGCCCTTGTCATGCCAGTCAAAAGCTATTGTCCATAGGCTACGTACACCTCATAAGCTCAATTCCTATAAAATCCATGGAAAACAAGCAGAAAAAAAAGTTCCAATCCTTCTACTCCCTAAAAATAAACCTTTACTACCCAATCCTAACAATGACCTTGACACCCAAAACCCCGAAATCCCAAGTCAACAAAATGTAAAAAAAGTCAACTTTCTTTCCGAAGGGCGAATGGCGTTTGTTGTAATTTTCATTCTGATTATTGCCATTGGTGGTCTTATGTATCGCCATCATACCATGATGGCTGCAATGTTGAACAAAAAACCTTCTTCTTCTAGAAGAAAGAGGCATAGGAAACAAGGAAGGATTTATGCCAATGAAGATGGAAATATCGATAGTGAAAGAAATCCAGTGCTAAATTTTAATCATTTAATCGAATGTGACACAGAAGGGCGTTCTATAGGCAAACTATTTGTGTCAAATAAAGAAATTGCAAAGGGTAGTAATGGAACAGTTGTTCTTGAAGGGGTATATGAAGGTCGTAAGGTTGCTGTGAAACGCCTTGTGAGGGCCCACCATGATGTTGCATTTAAAGAAATTCAAAATCTTATTGCTTCTGATCAACATCCAAATATTGTTAGGTGGTATGGAGTTGAATATGATCATGATTTTGTTTATCTTTCTTTGGAGCGTTGTGCTTGTAGCCTTTATGATTTAATTCAAATGAAGAAAGGGGGTTTAGAATTCGAATTAGATTCAAATCATTCAATCAATGGTGACATCATCATGCATGATGTTCATTTATGGAAACCAAATGGATACCCTTCGCCTATTTTGTTAAAATTGATGAGGTACATGTACATCCAATCATTTATAACAACAACATTGTACTTTATTTACATGTGCTACTTTATTTATATCTTTACTTTGATGTTTATTATTATAGGGATATAGTATCTGGGCTTGTTCATTTGCATGAATTAGGGATCATTCATCGGGATTTAAAGCCACACAATGTGTTAATAGTCAAAGAAAAGTCAATATGTGGGAAGCTTTCTGACATGGGAATAAGTAGACGCCTTGTTGGCGACATGTTGTCATTAGGACTCCATGCTACTGGTAAGAAGAAAAATCAACTTAATTACAAAAATCGGCTGTTTTTGACACGTTGTAAATTGTTACGGGTTATTTTCGTCAGGTTCCGGAAGTTCAGGGTGGCAAGCGCCTGAACAACTTCTTCATGGACGCCAAACACGCGCCATAGATTTGTTCAGTTTAGGTTGTGTCCTGTTTTTCTGCATGACATGTGGCAGACACCCATTTGGTGATCATCTTGAACGCGATGTGAATGTGGTCAAAAACCGAGTCAACCTTTTTCTAGTTCGACATATTCCGGAAGCTTTTGACCTCTTCTCTCGATTGCTAAACCCTAACCCTGAACTCAGGTAAAATTATAAAATTACAATTTCAGTCCTCTAACTTGACGTTTTAAATTAATAAAGAATTTGCATTGTAGGCCAAGGGCTGTGGATGTGTTGCATCATCCTTTGTTTTGGGATTCCGAGGTGAGAATGTCGTTTCTAAGGGATACTAGTGATCGGGTGGAATTGGAAGATCGGGAATGTGATTCCGTTCTTCTGAGGGAATTGGAAAGTAAAGGTCCGGTGGCTTTGGGTGGAAAATGGGATGAAAAGATGGAACCGGAATTCATCAATAACATTGGTCGATACAGGCGGTATAAATACAACGGTGTCCGTGACTTGCTTCGTGTTATTCGAAATAAATTAAATCATTACCGCGAATTACCCAAAGAAATTCAGGTTCGATTTTCACAACATACAAAACGTTATCACTTTTTTTTACAGACCTGGACTGGATTAGACTGAACATGACAGGTTGTACTGCGTTAATGATTGTTTTGATGATTATTGGACACAGGATTTGTTGGGAGGTGTACCGGAAGGATTTAATGATTATTTTGGGATTCGGTTTCCGAAACTGTTGATGGAGGTGTACAATGTTATGTACCATTATTGTAAGGATGAAGAATGGTTCTATAAGTACTTGGAGCATTAATAACGTATTGTGGTGTGCCAACTTTTTAAACTTATTTATATGTATGTATAAATATATTTCATAGCGGCTGTTGTGTTTATGTAAATATGATATATGTAATATATAGTAATGTATGATATACATAACATCAATATTAATATATATGAATCTTTATTGTATGAAAATGCTCTTTTTCTTTGGATATTTTACAATTTTAGTTGTTTAATTTCTTAATAATACCAAGATGGATCGAAACTCTAAGGTTGCGATTAATTGTGGAAAAACAGTTTTCATTTTCTGTTTTCTGTTTTCCGTTTTTAGTTTTTGTTTTCCGTTTTCAGTTTTCATTGGAAAATTTAGAAAACGTGTTTAATTAAATCTTATTCATTATTCATTTTCTGTTTTAGAAAATTAGAAAACGCGTTTAGATGTGTATATTTCTATTGGTTTTCATTTTTAGAAAACGGTAGCGATGATAGGATAGGGATGGGGGGCAGCCGTGGGGGGAAGTGGTGGTGTCAATGATGGCGACAGTGGTGGTGGTTGTGGCGGCGGTGGTGATGACAGGCAGTGGTGGTGGCGGCGGCGGTGGTGATGTTGGTGATGGGGTAGTGGTGGTGGTGGTGGTGATGGTGATGGTAGGTCTGTGGTAGTGGTGTTGGGTGTGTGTGTGTGTGTGTGTGTGTTTATAGGGGTGGGGGTGGGGGTGGGTGTATGTGTGTGATTATAGTAGTGGTGTTGGGTGTGTGTGTGTTTATAGGGGGGGGGGTGGGGTGGGTGTGTGTGTGTTTATAGGGGGGGGTGGGGTGGGTGTGTGGTGGGTGTGTGTGTGTTTGTAGGTGTGTGTGTGCGTGTTTGTTTGTGGGGGTACAGGTGTGGGTGGGGGTTGGGGTGGGTGTTTGTTTATGTGTGTGTGTGGGGGGGGGGGGGGGGTGGGCTTGGGCTTGGGAGTGGGTGGGTGTGGGTAGGTAGGGGTGTGGTGGGTTGGAGGTGTAAAGGTGGGGATAGGTAGTAGAGGTGGGAGTGAATGGGTGTTTATATTTTAGAAAAATTTTGGAATTAGAAAAATATGAAAAACAATGATTACTGGTTTTCTCAAAATTTCCAACTTCTTTGTAATTTTAGAAAACAGAAATTTTGCATTTTCCGTGAAAAATTTAGAAAAATAGACGAACTAAACGCGTTTTCAAAATTCTCATTTTTCTTGGAAAATTTTCCAAGAAAAACGAAAATTTTGAAAACGCGTTTGATTCGTTTAGTTTTCCAAAATTTTCTAAGAAAATGAAAATTTTTAGTTTTCCAAATTGTATGTAAATTAGAAAAATTATTTTTACAGTTTTCAAAAGTTTTCCAAATTTCTAAGAAGGAAAAAAGAAAACTTCATCAGTTTCAACCAAATGCGTTTTCTAAAATTTTCATTGAAAATTGAAAATGAAAACTCAACTCTATTTTCTAAAAACATTTTCTTAGAAAATGAAATAATTTTTCACAACTAAACGCACCCTAAGGGTGTGTTTCTTTGTGGCAAATTTTCTAGGAAAATTTTCCAAAAAAATAAAAATTTTGAAAACGCGTTTGGTTCGTTCAATTTTCCAAAATTTTCTAAGAAAATGAAAATTTTCAGTTTTTCAAATTATATGTAAGTTAGAAAAATGAGTTTTACAGTTTTCCATAGTTTTCCAAATTTTAAGGTGGAAAATAAAATTTTCACCGCTTCAAACCAAACGCGTTTTTAAAATTTTAATTGAAAACTAAAAATTAAAACTCAACTCTATTTCCTGAAAACATTTTCTAAGAAAATAAAAACAGTTTTCCACAACCAAACGTACCCTAAATAATCCTGAATGACCAAAAACACCTTATGTAATATACTGAAACGACTAGTTTTGTTAATTGTTTTCAATAAGTTGTGTGAATTACGTCTAAATTCGAGACTAGAAGATCATTTAACCAACTTTCCGTTTTTAATTACTAATTATTTTTTGTCAAATACACCATATGACCTGATGTTATATATCAAATACAATGTTTTCACAAAACAAAGTATGTTTATCATTTTGAAATATCTTGATCGAAAGAACTATAACAAAGATGAAATTGTTTAAGAGCATTAAGTATGGGTCACGTTATAACATCGAATTCATATGTCACCTCAACCATAACACCAAGGAGGAAATGGTGTTCCCCATGTTATAACATGTTAAGAGGTAGAGAGAAAAAAAGAAAATGATTTTGATTGATTGATAAAGGCAACAACCAATTAAACTTCACGTTGCATCTTGTCTTCGTCACAACGAGATATTTCATAACATCCTCTTAACAAGAAAGGGGGGGGGGGGGGGGGGGTTCATCTTGTTATGACTAGGTTATGAGGTGTCACATCAGCAATAATATCATTTCTCGTTGCTCATACCGTATGCTCTAAGGGAATATGTTGATCTATGTTTTTGTAATTTGTAGTAATTTGAAGCAGTAATAATCAATTTTAACTATTTGGTTGACTATATTTTACTTATTTTCGGATCAAATTTTCAATTTTATAACTGTAACAAAATTATCCATATATTAATTTATTTACGAGTTCTCTTAACCTGCTAGTTTTGAGAGACTTCTTTTACTTGCACTTCACACCTCTAAAATTATTTTCCCAAAACTATTTTTTTTTATCAATTTATACATCAGTATTTTATGTATAAGAATTTTTTAAATAATCAAACGTTATTCCCTATGGGCCTATATCATATTTGATTACAACTAGTTATTTATTTTTATTTTTTCCATATCAAATAACTATATTATCGTGAATAAGTATTGAATTTTAATTATTTGACATGAAGTCATTTTAGCCCGAATGTGCAAAATACCGATCCAATGGACCTAACGAAAAAAAAAGACCGATTAAACACTTATGGAGGCGCTCGGCCCAAACTACCAAAAGCCGAAAATAGAACTCAGTCGACAGTCGACACTCCTCGATACGGCGGCGATCTTCGTCTTCGCTCAAGCAAATCTCCTTCTCCATTGTTGGTCGTTTCAAGGTATCATTCAAGCTCTCTCTCTCTCTCTCTCTCTCTCTCTCTCTCTCTCTCTCTACAAGAATTGACACAAGATCTGTATACACTCTAATTGTCTGAATAATTTTATTTATTCTTCCACCTGGAACCATATGTTTAGATGCTAATCCCTAATTCAATCGCTATGCTATGAAAAATCAGACTTTTCGACTCATTCACACTCCACAACAAGCACATGCATCATTATGTTATCCTTCTCTTTTAATTTCTTCATCTCGTAGTTTAGCGTTTAGGGTTTTTCGTTTTACTGTTCCAATTTTTATGTTCTTGTTCGGGTTGTAGTTAAATGGCGTCCCTGAAGGAAATTCTAACGCGTCGACCAGTGGCGGCGACAGTCCGTCTCACCATCCCAGCCGGCGGAGCAAGACCTGGACCACCGGTAGGTCCGGCTGTAGGTCAGTACAAAGTTAATCTAATGGCGTTCTGCAAGGACTTCAACGCTCGCACACAGAAATACAAATCGGAAGCTCCAATCGCTGCTACTGTGACGGTTTTCAAAGACAACACTTTTGAACTTAGCGTTCGCTCTCCTTCAGTCACCTGGTTTCTAAAAAAAGCCGCCGGAATTGACTCCGGGAGTGGACGTGCAGGTCATGTTGTTGCATCAACCCTAACCCTAAAACACATCTATGAAATCGCAAAGGTGAAGCAAGCAGATCCGTATTGTCAGTACATGTCCTTGGAGGCGATTTCAAAATCAATTATAGGTACTGCTAAATCTATGGGGATTAAGGTTGAAAAGCAGTTGGATTGATGATGAATCTTGAATTCTTGATTAATGAATGTTAGATTTTTGTAGACTAGTGTACTTGAGATGATATCTGGATTTGAGTATTTGAAAATTGCTTTGAAAAACTGCATAAAATCTTCAAGTTGTTTAAAGGTTTTCCTGTGTTGAAAGGTGAAACTTGAAGCCTGTGATTTCATATATCTTGCAATCTTTGTATATTTTTTTGTTTAACTTGTGGAAAAGGGATTATTGCAATCGATGTTTAAATTATTGTGAAATTTTTGTATGTTGAAACATCTGCAAATGTGATGATTTAACAGAAAAGCATTATCTCTGTTGCTTAGATTTGTTGAAATGAGAAAATGAAATGACTTAGATGGGTAACAATCTTTTCCGGATTGTCAAAAAAACATCATTAAACTTATTTTTTTTCTTACTTGTTAAGTTGTTATATCATTTAACTTGGTGAAGTGGTAAAAAAAAAATGGAGGAGGATGTTGCTTGATTTGGCATTTGTGTTGGCCAGTTTTCCTTAAAAAGAAAATCTTTGCATTGATATTATTTTTTCCTATGTGGCGATTAGAGATGTACCCCTAATTTATGGACACTTTAGAGAGCATTACACAAGATTATGTGAAAATTAGAGCTTTTCTCTAGTTCAAGAGTATAGTCTTCCTATGGAAGACGACAAAGACTCTTTTGTCTAGTTTATAGTACATTCAAGGAAAACGACAATGATTTGTTTGTCAATACAAATGAATCAAAGTTCATGTGTGTTACAAATGCACTTTTGACCTAAAACTGCTAGTCTACTTTAACCATATTAAAGCTTTTGTGATGGATGTTGATTTCAGAAGAATGGGTTTCAATGACTTCATTTTATATATATGAAATTTGAATAATGATGTGTGTTGATGTGTACTACTGCGTTGGACAAGTATCACTAAGATATAGGTCGAGAGCATTGACGTGTAATGATTTTGTTGGTTTTTAAAGGATAGTTATGTATAATGGTGAAAGAACCAAAAGCGAATAGTTTGATGATCGTGTGGATTCAGTTTCTTGTCTAATGCATTATTAGTTGTTTACAAAGAGGATATGGTTTTTGAATTGAATAGTGTGTTGGTCCCTTTTTGAGCAACAATTGTTTTTATTTAAGACCAAATACAGTTTATTTATAAGTTCTAGAATACGTGACAACTACACTAAACCCCCACCCCTAGTGTATCTTTATTTTGACCCAATTTAGAAATGGGATACTATGGTACGCATCCTTGGTATGAGATTATCTCACTTAAAAGAACTTAAACTATTGTTAAGCAATTATGTTGTTGCTAATGGATATAATCTATGGTATGAAAAAATGACAAAAGTAGATTGTTAGTTAAGTGTTGCAAAAATGACAAAGAGGTTTCATGTCCTTTTACATTACGGGTAAGTTGGATTAGTAAAGAAAATTCATTCCGGATTAAGTCTTTAATTGTAGAACATAATTATGCTATAACCTTTATCTTTAGATCAGTTGTCACATATTCATGGGTAGGAAAACAATTTGTTAATCACATTTTGGAAAATCCCCAAAATAAGTCATAGAAAAATGGCACATGAAGTTATGAAGAGAATCAATATAAAGATTAGTGTTGTGTAGGGTAGAATGCAAAGAAATATGCTTTGAATTACATTGAAGGTACATCTACATTATGAAAAATTATGAAGTTATGGTCAGAATTTGAGGTCTAATCTAGGTTCTATTGTGAAGGTAGATGTAGATATTATGCCTAATTTCACATGATATATTTCAGAGATACATGTGTGTCTAAAAGGTGTAAATGATTGTTGGATTCAAGGATGCATAAAATGAGAATAAACAATGTGTTAGGCACATCTATGCCAACGTTAAGAAAATGTTTGCAGATGTTGAATATAGGAAGCTTTGGTAGATAGTTGTAAATGCCTTAAATACATCAGTATTTGAAACCACAATGAATCAAATTAGGTTGATAGACACAACTGCTTATGAGCATTTGATGGAAAGGCAACCTAAAACATGGTGTAGGGCTTATTTTGAAAAAGATGGGTGTTGCAATGTTGTTAAAAAAAGGGAATATGACTTATTAAGGTAATTAACTTTTCGGTATGTTCACATCAGGGTAACTATCTTTTTTTTCTACACATCTAGGTAACAAACTTGTTTGAAGTGTTCACATATGACTATTATGACCTGCTATAGCAGGTTAAATCCTAGATGTGAACGCTTTCAACAAGTTCGTTACCTAGATGTGTACAAAAAAAATAGTTACCCAAATATGAACAAAACGAAAAGTAAAAACTAAATTACACGAATGGTCTCTGTGGTTGGGGGAATTTGTGTTTTTGGTCTCTAACTTATTTTTTTAACTTGGATGGTCCCTACTGTTTATTTTTGTTGCGCGTTTGGTCACTGTCTTACCTAAAAAGACTATTGTGCCCTTATTAATTTATTTTTTAATTAATTTTCTTATTTATGCATTTATTTTTTTACATATTTAAAAAAATTAATAGACCCACATATTTGTATCTCCTCGGATGATCTCTACTGTTTATTTTTTAATTAATTTATTTTTTTAACTCGGATGGTCCCTACTGTTTATTTTTGTTACGCGTTTGGTCCATGTCTTACCTAAAAAGACTATCAAACGGCCTCTAAGATTACCTAAAAGTAAAAATTAAATTATACGAATGATATGTAGGGTATATTAATTTTTTAAATATATAAAAAATAAATACATAAATAAGAACATTAATTAAAAAATAAATTAATAAGGGCAAAATAGTCTTTTTAGGTAAGACAGTGACCAAACGCGCAACAAAAATAAACAGTAGGGACCATCCAAGTTAAAAAAATAAGTTAGGGACAAAAACACAAATTCCACCAAACCACAGGGACCATTCGTCTAATTTAATTTTTACTTTTGGTTTTGTTTATATTTAGGTAACTATTTTTTTTTGTACACATCTAGATAACGAACTTGTTGGAAGCGTTCACATCTAGGATTTTACCTGCTATAGCAGGTCATAATGGTCATATGAACACTTCCAACAAGTTTGTTACCTAGATGTGTACAAAAAAAAGATAGTTACCCAGATGTGAACATACCGAAAAGTTAATTACCTTAATAAGTCATATTCCCTTAAAAAAACGACATTTTAGAATCTTTCAATGCAACACTTGTGATTGCTATGAAGAAACATATTATAACAATGTTGGAGGAAATAACGATGTTTGTAATAGATATATGCCCTTCGGTTAAAATGGGGATTGAAAAAATTAAGCAACATTAGTGGTATCGGAGAGTTGTAACATCCCAAAATTTAAGATCAAAAATTTCATTTTTAATTTAAAGATTCATAAAACAGATTACTGAAAATGTCACCAGTGTTATCTCATATCAAGAAAAACCATAAAGTCGAATATCTCTCAAAAACATATCATAGGAAAATAATGTCAGATTACAAATCCCAAGAGTCTCATGTGCGGAAAATCGAGTTTGTGATGTGTTGCAGTCATGCCGACTCTTTTCCCTTCCAAGAAGAGGTACCTGAAACCAAAACTGTAAACCGTAAGCATGAAGCTTAGTGAGTTCCCCCATCATACCACATACCATACAATAACATACTGTCAGACATATCTGGGTGCCCGAACTACCTTCCTGAGCATACCGGGGTGCTCAACCTACCCCTGTTAGGCATACTGGGGTGCCCAACTGTGACATCCCCATTTTCACAGCCAGAAAAGACCGATTTTTGTTTATGCTTGTTTGAAAATCAGAGTAACATTTTAAATAAAAGTGTTGCGGAATTTGTTCCCAGAAAACATGATAAATAGGTTATCAAAGCATTTCCGAGGAAATGTATTTTTATTCATTTTCAAAACATTGGGATGTCATTGTCAATACAGAAACATAAGCATAAACAGAACTTACATTATTTACACTAGTGATCTACATCTCTTTTAAATCTCTCAGTGTAAAGTAGCTTCGTATCGACACCTGTGATACAAATAAGCTTGAGTGGGTCAGGTTGGGAAACCTGGTGAGTACATAGGGTTTTCAACCCACAATAATATAATTATTATGTTTAATCATCAAACAATTAACCCAATTACCCATCCCCATTATCTTATTTACTCTTAAGGATCTACCCTAAGAATCAGCTATCTCTTGTTCATTCATTCCTAAGGATCATCCTAAGGAATCAGCACGAAGTCCATCATCACCGGGGTTTAGGCACTATGTCTGCATAGTCGCCAGGATTTATACAACAGGCACTAAGTCCGCATAGTCGCCAGGGTTTAGGCACTAAGTCTGCATAGTCGCCAGGGTTTATACAACAGACACTAAGTCCACATAGTCGCTAGGGTTTTGGCACTAAGTCTGCATAGTCGCCAGGGTTTATACAGCAGGCACTAAGTCCGCATAGTCGCCAGGGTTTTGGCACCAAGTCTGCATGATCGCCAAAGTTTAGGCACCAAGTCTGCATGATCGCCAGGGTTTAGAGTACACATGGTGAACACATCGTTCACAACACCTACAGGTTGCGAGCCTGCTAGTGTTCCACTAGACTGTCTAGAATAGTTCGTGGTTGTCATCCATACTCTGCAAGATGACGGGGCCATCATTTGGGAAAGGCTTCTCACATCGTCCACCTCTCACACTCACCTCGTGGTCTATAACACCTCTCAACTCATCATCCAACTCATATTCCATCTATTACATCTACCCATGTTTTACCCAACATATTATCGTAGATATATATATATATATATATATATATATATATATATATATATATATACAGTTTAAATCATTTAAAACATATATAAAATCGTTCATCCAACATAGACAGCAAGTACTCAGATAATATGCACACATAGCACGTAGTTTATATAAAATACTTCATATCTATGTGTAAGATGAAAGTAACTATGCACTCACCTGAAAGGTGGTGACTCTGCACTTGAACAGCGCTTCGTTATCTCAAAATAA